AACGCATAGTGTGAATCTGTCAACCACGGTATCACGTCATACAATCGTGCTCCGCGATGTAGCTTCGTGCTCTTCGGAAGCGTTTCGCCGTGGCTTCGTGGCTGCTCCGCCGTCCGTGCTATCATATTCTACTGTAATATCGTTTTGCGTGGCTCGGTGAGCTCCGGTTCTACCCTGGTATCGTAATACAGTGCTTGGTGATCTCCCGTTTATGGTCCTCCGCGGCTTCATGTTTGGTCCGCCGACCGTGCTCCGTGCTCTACCGTGGTGTAACGGGATAATCCTTTTTCCGTGCACTCTCACAGCTACGTGTTCTACTTAATGGTATCAATATTTCAGTTCTCTTCCGTGGTCCGTACGCTCCCGTCAAACCCTTTCCCTCCCAATTTGCATGGTAACGCGCTCTTCCGTGGCTCATGCTTTTAAGAGCCGTTAGCTGCCTTCATTGATTTAGCCCTCTTTCAACGTTCGGTGCCTTTCGTGCTTCGTGCCGTTTCTTCTATTCCATCATGTACATGGTGTTCCTTCGTGTTTCGTGTTCTTGCTTAATCACGTGCCTCCGCGCTAATGTAATCACAAAGACTGCTTCCAGTGTCGTGAAGGTACGTATCGTGGTGAAAAAAGGGCATATTCTCTAAAGGTCGCACACTACGCGCGCAATACAAAGGAATACGATATTTTTTTCGCGGCGGTGGAGTGAGTGGGAGGCCACTATACACTTAAGTATTACTATTAGTAATACGATTGTGTATTTTTAACGAACCCTGGTATCATAAAACAATCATTTGTAAAGGAAACTAAAATAGTATTAAGCAAAACAATGCTGTCAGTAAAACTATTTTACAGCTACTACGAAGCTTAAAACCTCATTTTTTTTACAATAAGTACTAAAAGGACCATTCAAGGAGTCTTGAATAGCCCATATTAGTGGTAGTCAGAGTTGGATACAAGAGCTCTTTCCAAGAGCTGAAAAGACACACCGTCGACTCTCGTTGGCCAAAATTCTCTTGGAATCCAAGAGATCTCACCCCAGCTTTTCTGTTTTAGGAGAAGTCTTGGATTCCAAGAGATCTCACCCCAGCTTTTCTGTTTTAGGAGAAGTCTTGGATTCCAAGAGATATTGCTGGGAGAAGATCGGAGGGCACTATGGAAAACAGAGAGGGCAATACGACTAACAGGGCACCTGCTGAGTAAGCGGTCGCCACTGACAAGCTCAAGACGAAGACCAAGCAGAAGGTGACTTGGCATTCGAAGGCTAAGAAGCGAGAGGGTCAGGTGCCGGAGCAGGTCGATCAGTCGGGTCGGGGGATGACAAGGTCAGGAAAGAAGGCTCCCATTTTCTGGGACTCCGATGGGGTGGATGTAGGAAAATCCTCCTTGCGAGTGGTGCTGGAATGGATGACTAACCCCGCCAACTATAACAAGTGGCGACGTAGTGATCGAACGAGCGGCAACACGAAGGAAGCGCTGCTAGCGGAGATCGTAGCTCAGCTGAAAGCAGTTGGTATTGAGCATCGAGACAGTCCTGGGGTCCGCGAGAATATTAACTCCCTGGAGAAACAGTGGCGGCAGGCAGAGGATTTTCGTCTAGCAACTGTTGCAGGTATTACGGACGGGAAGAGCCTTCGTGATGCTTTGTTGAAGCGCTGCCCACACTACGACGACTTGCATGATGTGATGATGGACAGGCCTTCAGCTCGTACCAAGGTTACATTCGATGATCAAGACGCAGCTAAAGGGGAGTTGCTCTCTACCTGCCTCTCTGTGCTTCAAAAAGGCGAAAAGAGGCCGCTCGCCATTGACGCAGATTCGAGTACCAAGAAACACAAGGTAGACTCTGTTGACAGACTGCTGGAACAGCAAGCGGATGTACTCCGTATTCGTGAAGAGAAACGGGAGAGGATGATGGATTATCGTGAACGCGAACACGCACTCAAGTCTAAAGAGCTGCTACTAAAGGAAGAAAAAATAATCGCGAAAAGGCCCAAGCTGACATCGACCTTCAAATCAAAATGGTGCAGCTTCAGACCGCACAGCGAGAAGCTGCGGTTCAACTTCTTCTTTCACGCAAGCAGCTGCAAGATAGCGGTGTTCCACAAGAAGAAATTGATCGACTATTACCTTTACAGAGCGAAAGTGAAGGAGTAGGAATATCTGTGGAGTCTGATTAATTGATGCTTTAATGCACGCTGTCAAAATTATAGTCGCGTAAGTAAGGTCTACGGCACTCGTTGGTACCGCTCGGTAGTTCTTCGGGCTCATTATCTTCTGCTTCATCGCAATCAATCCACGCATCAGGAAGTTTATCATTGACCGTCAAGTTGTGTAATATGATGGCTGCGCGAATGAGTGAAATGGTTGAGTTGAGCTCGACTACGTTTCTGATTCTAGCACGCAAGCGTTTGAGTAGCGGGAATCTACCTTTCAACGTTCCAATGCAGTGTTCTACACGAATACGTATCTTCGCTAACTGTGTGTTGAACATGTTTTCCTTCAGCGATAGTTCTGAGCCTCGACACTTTTTAAAGGCGGGAATCAGCACATTCGAAGCCTGGTATGCAGAGTCCCCCAGGATATACTCGTTATCCGCAAAGTGATCGTTTTGATGCTGTGCTAACCTGCAATTTCTCCACACACGGTTGTCATGGCTTGAGCCTGGCCAACCCACGTTTCATAGCGAATTCGCTCGCGGTCGTCGCAGACGATAAGTCCGTTGATAGCGTAAGAGCTTTTGCGAAAGAAGAAATCTTCTCCATGATCCTCGGGTCGCTGGGACAAAGGAAACAAAGTGCCATCAATGAGGCCTATGCAATTCGGCAGATCCGACACATTCTTGATCCTCTCTGCAATTTCACGACGCTCTCGCAATCCGGGCCAGCAGATTACCTCTGACTTTATTCGCATCAATGCAGTCACGACACGTTTAGCTAGCAATGACTCTGGTGTATGCCCTCCAACAGAGAGGAAATCAGCAGCGTGGCCTTGGCCGTCCATCGATCCAAGTCTCTTCAGGAGTACCATCACGTGTACCTCCACGCTAGCCTTTTGCAGCTTACCAATCACGCTCTGAAACTCGGGAAACGTGGCAATTGCACGACACACCGCGTGAAAATACGGCCTAGTCATGCGAAAGTGGAGCTTAAAGTCGCTATCTGGCATCCGGGTTAGATAGTAATTAATCCGTGATGGTGGGAGTTCCACACGCTTGCGGGGCGTGACGTAGCGGCGGGACTCCAATACAAGATACAGTGACGCGTAGCTTATGTCTTCATCACTCGAATCTTCATCACTCGACGCCTCGCTATCTGCACTCAGACTGAGCTGGTTTCTCCACGCGAGGAGCAGTCTTGAAAGCAACACCTTCTTCCTACTTAGCGTCGGCATCGTTGCATCTTGCCGAACAGTCGACTCCAAGCCCTTGCAAAGGTTGTCAGAGTACGTTAGCGCTGATTGGATGATTTGCAGCGAGCTGTGCTCTTGGAAAGAGCTCTTGTATCCAACTCTGACTACCACTATTATGGGCCACCAAGGCCCACAATTTCTATTAACAGCTTGTGTAACCAAGCATCGCGCGCGTGCTGATCGACGCGGGCAGCTAATGCTAACTAACGCACACACATGCAGCGCCCTTTGCGTGAAGTGGCGCTCCGCGACTGAAAATGGGGGCAAAATGAAATTTAAGCGGTTACGATACGTCGACACATAAAATGTGAGAACCGCATGTCAGTTTTAGCCCGTTACGACTGCCTTCACTGCGCTCGGCAGCCAGTAGAAGGACCCTAGGACGGACTTACATACTTACAAACCGCTACATACGTTGCCTGGGGCTCCCGCTCGGCGCTCGTCCCGCAAACACACGCGCCCTTCGTCCATTGTCTGCTGCCGCCGCGAAATGAGGCGGAAAGAAAGAAGCGCAAATATATTAGCCAATCAGCGGGTGGTAGTAGTATTCAGTAGTATTTATTTTAAGATTTGACTCAATATCAGCCAGTGACCGGGGCCTTCGCTTTGCTCGCCATTATTTTGTCCAGTGAGAAGTGCGTATTTGTGCTACAGATTCGTTAGTGTCATAGTGTTTTAGATGCACAATAATATTTTGCAGAACCTTTGTTTTACACAATAAACTGTACACTGGCTCCACATGTTTACTGTTCACGCTAACTATAATAGTCGTAGTTCGCAATTAGTCGTGTATTTGCACTTTAGTGACATCACAAACTCGGTATATTCGACTAAAATGATCAAATCTAAAGAGAAAGACCGGTTTTGAGCAGGTCTCATCGAGCTCTTTGTTTCAGTATGCTCGGTTTAAAATTTAGACTGGTATTTCAAATATGTATGCTCGGTTTAAAAATTAGACTGGTATTTCTTACAAAATGGACAGCTGAAATCCCAGTATTTTAAGGACTTCGATCTGTACACCACAATTAGTCAGGGTATGACTAATTAGCGCGAACGGTGTAGTTATTTAAGCTAGCTCTTCACCGGTAAGAATGCCGTTTTGTAGTGAATAGTTTTGGGCTCAGTATTACATATGACCAGGAAACGCCAAATCACGTTTATTTGTTGTATCTCCCTTTTCGAAAAGGCACTCGTTATTTTGCCCGACTGAGGTAACATAGCATCGCCTTTTATACGTGTACAAATAGTATAGTACGGTTAAATTGGAGTAAAGGTTGGACACTAGCGCGTTTGCACTCGTCTGCGGACTTATAGCCGTGGGCCCGCCCCTCTCTTCACTTGCTGCGCTGCGCTCGGGGGGCGCCGCTGCGCGGCCTGCCCCACCCCGGCCTCTAAGTCCTCGACTCGGCAAGGCGCTGTGTCTGGGATTAGAAATTAATTTCGAGCGAGTGTTGCCAAGACCGTCGGCTAAGTCCATTTTATGCATGTTGGGGGGGTATAATTTGTATAGTCGGCTAGCCAGTCGGGGCAAAATACTCCATTTCCTTTCGAAAAAATAAAACGCGATTGGCGGTTTTATTCGTGGTATCATTCTTCGACTACGTGCAGGTGTCCTGTGGGTCTACTCTCTTTCGCACAGCATCGGTCACTGCAGTAAAATACGTCCGTTTCTTTACTTCGTACGCTTCAATGAAGCTTGAATTGTCAGCAACAACGACATCAAACTGGTTCGCGGCCTCAATAAACGGCATAGCGTCCAATTCTTCGTAGCTAAGACCCGTCATTTCCTGAAATTTGCGGATCCGAAAGTCGCGTGCTGCCTTCAGTACTGTGATCCCGTCCGGAGATTCTACCGTCTCGTCGTCAATGATGTTGGCAGCCAGCTCCGAGTCCGAAGTCATGCTTCGACGATTCCAGTTCGCTGAGCCTACTGACAAGTACACGTCGTCGATGATCACAACTTTTGAGTGGATGTACAGATCCAGTTCTTCCTTCGTAGTGTAAATCTGGATCTTGTTCGGGTACAGTTTCTGTATCGGCGCTGTCATCTCGAACATATACTTCTCGTATCCAGAGAACTTCGACCTCCCAACTGGACGTTGCACCACCACAATGAGTCGTTGGATTGTGGGCATCACTTGTAGTATGGCTTCAAGTAGCTCTGGTACGAGGATAAAGTACTGATCCTCAATGCAGATAAAGTTTTTGGCGCTCAAAAGCGCCTTGATTCGTGCTTGGAACAGTGAGTTCTCGCCGTAGGGAGCGAACTCGTCGTAGTGCTCATACTTGCAGCTGAACGTCCGTACGATCTGTACGTTTTGGCTGCCTAACTCCGACTTGGTCCTGCTGCTGGTGTAGTCTAGAGGCGCTAAGTCGTCGTATGGCGGGTTGTCAAAGTCGAGCAAGTCCTTGGCAAGACCCTGTGTTGGTTCGTAGTCGGAGTTCCAGCGACTGAGAAAGTTTCCAGCCACATCTTTCGCTGCCGGCCCGTGAATACGGACATGGCCGTCTATCCAGCCCTTGAAGGAGCCACTCACACCGGTAGATTCGCGAAGTTCCGACTCATTGTGGTAGATCGTATCCCAACGACCTGAAGTGATGTCGATCCCACCAACGTAAGCCACAGGGTGTTGATCCACCTCCGTCGAATTGGTAGATGCTATGATTAGATTCTTCTGGTGGTGAGTTGATGAAATCGTCCGTACGCGGTCGTCAAATAGGAAAAGTGGCTTCTTTCCTGTCGTTACTGATGCCGCGATATCGTTAATGTCGTCGCGAACCTTAATATTCTGCGATTTGCCTAGCATATTAGCCCATATTAATGCGTGGAAACTGCCGCCACGCTGTATTATACCTTCAACCACGTCATGTAATTGGGACTGGTTGCCACCGTCGACATCGGGCTGGAACGGAATGAGGTCTGTACCCCAACCTGCCAGCATGACTCGATCTCCCTCCTTGGTGGACGAAAGATCAGTAAAAGCAGCGTCAAAGAATTCTTTCGGTACGGTGTATGTCGTGACGTCGTTCCCGGTCGTGTAAGTGGCCATGTCGCCTCGAGTTGAGCCATTCCGTGACGCTGTAACCTCCTCCTCAGTAAGAAACCAATCGGTCGGCGCGAGCAGAGGTTGATCCACTGTCAAGTCCGAGCCGTCCGATGCATCCAACTCTTTATGTTCTTTGTACCCGCAAGTCAGCGAGTTCTTTTTGAACTCGCACACGTGACATGGCTCACAGATGCACAATCTCACAACCGCGGAGAAGAAGCCGCCAACCTTGGTACACTCGACACCGGTGCGAGTATTAATAGTCGTAGGGGTAGTCCTCGACTGACTGTGGAGAGAATTGAGCGACGACGTGGTTGTCCATGGAAACACACAGAGCAATATACCGGAGATTCCTAGATGGCGAACCATCATCAGGCAATTTGCAGAATGGCAACTTGCCATTGGCAAGTACTGTACATGTACATTACTCACCTGTGCTTGGGGAGCTGGTCTACAGAGAACACTGTACAGTACACTGAGGCACTACTGTAACGTACAGTTTTTCTGTAGTTATTACAGAAGTACGACGGGTAATAGCGAGGCCTCCGGGCTTCATACGGTAAATGTATCTGCAATACAGAACATGTACCGGTAATTCGGTAGAGCTCCAGCAATGCACCGTATGGTACCGTAACCGACTCACTTGACAAATCAAAAAAGAAAATATTGGTGAGCCTTAGTCTGCTGTTTGTCTTTGTCAATGATGTGTCCTAATTGGTGACATAGCGTACAAGTTATTGTACAAAATGTCTTACCATACAAAATATGTTCTGGACCCAATCCTGCATAAGTCGATACATCACCTTTTACAGGAAAGATAAATCAATGGTGCCAGGGTGAAGACAGACTCATAAAATTCAATCACATCTCTTTTTTCTTCCTTCTACTCAAGCTCCTCCACCTTCCTCGCCTCACCTTCAATAGTCTTGGATGCTGAGACTATTACATGCAATCACCCTTCTTTAATTTTATGCGTTTTCTGATATACCTGCCTCTTGTTATTCGAGGAATTCTCATTTACGCCTGAGTACGCTCAGCTATACCGTATATGATACTACAGTGTATTCTGGAGAATCGACCAAGCAGAATTAGAATATCATCTCGAAGCCTACAAGTATTAAAGATGCAGCTTCTCGGCCGCTTTTGCTTTCGACATCTAGAAAAGTGGACTTAAACTCGTGCATCTACAGCCAAACTGGCTTCCAGTACCGTATTAATACATGTACTGGGTCTGCGACAGTCACAGGAAACTCGAGGGCGACAAGGAAGATATAATGGTTCATGTATTATAGTATTAGTATTAATCGAGCTTAGGTATTTCGCTCTGCGTTTCATCGATATTTGCATGCTGGCATTTATTAATAACAAAAAAAACTCAATTTGAAAAGTTGCGTACTACGTAGTATTTTGCTATTACTACTAGTAGTAATACATGTAAGAAATACGAGCGTGGTTATTCCCAAATCGAGTGACTTGTGGCGCCGCCGTATCGACGACGTCTATACACGTAGTACGTCGACGCAGCCTTGAGGTTTGTTTCAAAGTACGCATCATTGAAAGGCACATTGGCGAAATCTCCAAAGTCGGTGTTCTCCAAGGCTTCTCGAGCCGCGTCTGTCAGTTGGGTCCACTGGATGAGGTCTTGGTATTCCCCTTCCTCGAGGAACTGGAAAATGGTGTGCCACCCGTCTCGGTCGTCCTCATCGTACCGCACCTTCGCCGTGGTGCCATTAATGATGTCCGACCTCTTGGGTGGCTTACTGATCACATACTGAGTACCATACGTCGACGCCGAGGTTGCTAGTATTGTCGGCTTGGCTAGAGTTGGATTGTCGAGCCAAACTACCAGGTTTACCCAATCGTGACGAACACCCTTCTTGATAAGGCCTATATCCTGCATGTCTTTTGGAAAATACCATGCGTACATGATGGCCCACTTGTTCTCATACAAAGTCGATCGACTGTACACCTGCGAGCCTAAGGGAGAGCCCGTACATTCACCGTCAGAACGCCCCGTTCCTTTCAATCCAGCACCCGTATCCCCGGCAGCATTCACGACGGGGTACGGGTGACATCCAGCCTTTACTGCAAGTGAAGGCTTGAATTTGACTGCAGTTTTCTCGGCGTCGGTGGTCGGTTCCGGCTGTGCGAACGGCTGAACCGTGTCATGATCGATTGACGCAGCTCGGATGCTGGCGATGGCGGCCACGGCAAATATGCCCAACACCCGCATCTTATCACAGCTGATGTGGTTGTGGGAAGATTGGGATGTGAGCAGGGGCTAATGGTAACCAAATATCATATGATATTTTTGATAGTAATAGTACTATTTTCGATATTAAATATTAATAGTAACTCATTTTTGCAAAAGCTAACATAATATTTTTATATTAGCTCGGAGAACTGAAAAATATTAGATACTACATGATATTTTATGATATTTTCCCACTTAAGTACGTTTCTTGCCAGCTTACCGAGCGGAGCCAAATAACTTTTTCGATCAGGTTCTAGAAAAGCAGTAGGCTTTAAGACTGACGAGTATTTGCTCTAGTATTTCACTGTGACACAGACAAAGGCGATCGAGATGGAAAACTGCAAACGCTTGCAGCTGTTTAACGTTGATAGAGCGAAATCAAGACATTTGTTCTTGTTCTCTTCCGATCTCCTCGTCGACATCGTGCGTCTAATAAACCTGCTGCCTGTGGCGCTAGATTAATGCGCTCAGCAGTGCCAACACACAACGCCAACCTTGCCGTCACTCACAATTGTCCCGGTACTCACGGTTGATTAGTAATACTTCAGCTAGTCGAGCGTTAACGACATCTGATTAGTTAATGTAGCCCGATTACGCAATCATTGAAAAATATAATATCGTATTAACTAATATTAAGTTGATATTTAATAATATCATATTGTCTCAAAAGAAAATATTAGGTGATATTTTTTATATTAACTGGTCTACAGGTGATATTTTCACAATATTAACTTCACCGATTTTGGAGTTACCATTAACCCCTGGATGTGAGAGCAAGGTGATGCCCCACCAGCGACTGTATGAGTATTAATAGCATTTTTTTCTTGCGCAGTATGAGCAGTATTTACTATAACTTAAGTATTATACACATGCTAGAAGTGCTACACTGCTGCGGTAAGAATTAAATTCTACAAAAACAGGTCCTATAATTGCCGGTATGCTTCTACAAAACATTATTTAGTACTGCAGCCAGCAACACCAACTTCCGAAGATACACAAAATGAACATGTTTTCATTGCGGTCTTTTTTGGTCTAGTAATTTTAACTCCAGTATTAATACATGAAGTATTTACACTCCTTCGGAATATGAGTTTCTATTATATTAATAATAATACATGTATTAAACAAAGCAAATCTCTTTAGCAGTTCTGGAAAGTACACTGAACAGTACTAGGCTGATCGGATTATTCAGTACCATATGTTATATGGTACATGCAAAGGCGGGGATTACTGTTTTTATTAAAAGGAAGGGATTGCAACAATTCATCAGTATGCCGTAAACAGGAATCATCAATTAAAAGAAATGTACAGTACCATCAACAGTTAAAAAGTACATGTACATGTACAGTGTACTGGATTGTCCTGGAGGCCGGTAGAAAATTCAACTATTTTACTAAACATTAGGTATACCGGTATTGTACCTAGTATGATATCGGTGGCTCTGCTTTTTAATACCCCGCTGACTAGCAATATAGAGTCTAGCACGGAGTATGTAGGCTACGCGATAAACGTAATACATTACATTACATTAAGGTACACATGACACGGACAGCGGTTTCAGATGACGGGTGGTTGTCGTTGGGGTTCGTTAAACGCAAGGTTGCTCGATTTTTGCCGGCTTGCGATCGATTCCCCGCCAATCACTGGTATACCGCGCACATCTTTGCCGACCAAGTTCCCACCCACGCTAAACCGACTAACGAATGAACAGTGACGACAGATCTGCCGCTACAACCCAAAAAAAAAACATCATCAGGGTTGCGTTGTGGGCTTAAAACGTGCTTCTGCTGCAGCGCGCAACATCACAGGCAACGATAATTAAATAATCCTGAAGCAGGAATAAAATCATACCCATTGGCAGCTACCTGACTATAATACCAAGTCGCACCGTTCGGTCTCTAGAGATCACAAATTGGGTCAGCTGACAAAAAAAAGATTAGAAGCACTTAGAGGTGGGTCGTAGTCTATTGTTCACATGCAGATGGATCTGAAACATTTGCCACCTCTTTTTGTGGGGAAAATCAAGAAGGAAATTGCAAATGTCCGCCCTTAAAAAATGTACCATTTCAATAGCTAAGGACTTCTTTAAAACGATATCAGCAGTTTTTGTACAGCTGTTCACTTCTGAGAGAATAGAGGTCATTTAATCTTACGTACACATCGAAAGACCCTCTCAACCACTATATTTGGAGGGGATTTTTATTGTGGATATCAAAACAGAGAGGATCGTATGCACTGTTGCCAAATGATTAAGCTCGCACACCGAATTGATCGGGTATCATAATCCTGTTGAGTGACCACAAACTAAGGGGTAAAATCATGGAGCTACAAATAGGGCTATACAAATATCATTTTATCAAGCTGTCACTTTATATAGACTTTTGTAAGGCAGTGATTGTGTTCGCATATGATGTCCAATGGACAAAATGGTTTTTTGTTTGTGACCTACCCTATAGAATGCGTAAACGTGATCTTTAGCGCAGCACAGGACTCCACAACCGTGCTCTGATACCTCCGTCGAATCCGTATCTCAAAATGATACGAATTGGCATAGTTACGTAGAAAACGCCTAGTTGACACCAAACAGTACAGCCTTGGACACATCGTCTGCGTCAGCACCACAAACAAGTGTCGCCACAACAAGTGCAGTGGCAGCACAATAGATTACAACGTCTGTGTGCAGTGCGGGAAGTGCACAAATGGGGATGCAATAAGCCAGTCAGAACTAGCTACGCAGTCATGTGCCCCACAGAGCTTCAAAGGTCTGGACGACGCCAATCTAGCGCCGCCCGAGCGATCATGTCAAAGAGCGTGAGCTGGCGAGAAAAGCCGTCGACGTTTCTCTAGCGAAGACCAACTCTATACTCGAGGACATGAATTTCTTTAATATTGACAAAAATCAAACCCTCGCGTGCACCACTTGCAGCGAGAGCGACCACAAGATGCGTTACAGGCTGCTTGTGTGCAGCTCGCAAGCCGGTGGTGATGCCAGCGAGCTCAAGTGTGCCTGGAGGGGCAAGATCGTCACGTGCTTGACGACGGAGCACGCCACCATCTTCGAGCTCAAAGATCACAGCACTCCCATGTCGTCGCCCAACCGCAAGCGGCTGGCCTCTACACAGAAGGCGTTCATCCGCGAACTGGCCGACAATCACCTTCGTCCGATGCGTATCCGTCACGATCTTTCGCGGAATTCACTACACCGTTGCAGGACCTACCCTCCCTAATTACAGTACAATTTTTTGTCAGCCACTACGGCCGCACTAACCTTGAGAACAACGACCGCGTTGAGGAGTTACGAGCGTAGATTCACGACCACGCGTTTACCGGATCGGAGACCACGACTCAGACATTTACGTTCGGATGGGAGATGGAGAATGGAGGAAGGCCTGTAGTCAGACGACAAGCCCCTCTTCGTGGGCGTATCGACAAGATCGATGATGTTACGTTTGATGGCGGTATCCGAAAGCTTTATCTTGTATTTAGATGGAACCTACAAACTGAACTACTCGGTGTTGGTTGTTGGCGTGTCGGATTGGCCGCGTCGATTCCATTTGTTAGCGCTGTTCGTCGAATCTGAAGAGACAAAGGCCGCTTTCCAGGCTGCCCTATGCTCCCTGCGCCGCTTGTACTACTGGATCACTCAAAGTGATCTACACCTTTGCCCGCCCATAGTTGGCTCATTCAACATCCAAAGTCGGCATCTTTAATTTTGGTTCATTTTTTGCCGGAGCGAGGTACCCGAAATAAGCAGTACCGCCCTTTTTCCTCATTCAATGTCGACTAATCAACATTCAAAGTTGTCACTGCCGACGAGATTCCGACGAGGAACTCCCGCGCGCTCGAAGCCGCCCAATCTTATGCATGTGGCGCGTCTTAATCTTCACTCTCAATTCTACCGAGCATCGCGTAGATGCCTTCTCAGTCCACGCTCAAGCGCCACACACCCGAGGAACACCGCCGGGTCCTCGAGGCCTTCAACAGCGGCCAAGACTGGCGCGCCAGAAATTCGGGAGGCTCTCGAGCTCTGGATGGAAGAGTGCTGCACGTACACGCTCAGTACTTTAAGGTTGCTGGTGCGAGAAGACTTTGACGTGGACATCTCTGAGACCACGATTTCTCACCATTTGACTGGCGTGCTGTACTCAATCAAACAGGTGATACAGTCTGCTGTAAGGTGTTGATACTATTAGAGCTAACACACTTGCTGTTGCTTAGACTCGCGTGGGGCCAATGACCTGTAACTGCGAGGTCAACAAACAGAAAAGAAAGAAGTTTGCCGAGGCTTTGGTCAAGCACCAAGACGAGGGTGCCTTGATTATCTACTTCGACGAGACTAACTATAATCTCTACGTGAAGCGGTCGCGGGGCAGGGCGAAGAAGGGCAAACGCGCGATCGAAAAGCTTCCGCCTTCAAAATGGCCCAACCTGCAGATCCAGTGCGCAGGCTCCTCTGCTTACGGCGTGGTAGCGTACCGCAACAAGCGGGGCAGCATCAAAATGCAGGACAACGCGGACTTCGTGAAGAAGCTGTACAAGGTGGTAATGGAGTCGGAGGTGTACGCCACCGAGTACACGAGCAAGAATATTGTTGTCGTGTTCGACAACGCGCCGGCCCACTCGCGCACGAAAGAGCTCATGCCTGCCCACGACGACCTCGTCCTGCTACGCTTGGGACCCTACAGCCCAATGTGTAACCCGATAGAGAACTGCTTTAGCTCTCTAAAGGCACACAACAATCAGTACCTAGCTCTTGCTAGGGAGGAGATCCTGGAGCCTGTGCTAATCAGCGACGGCAAGCCGATCACGAAGACCGAGGCGCGCATGCGCATTCTCGAGCGCGCCGCCAGCGTGAACATGCCGAAGATCACGCAGCGCATGGTGCAGAAGATGGAGGTGCATGCTGCGAAATTCGTCAACGCCGCAATTCGCTTCGAGGACATGGTGTACGACGAGTAGGTGGATCTGTAAGGAGAAGAGGTGTACAGCATGCCGACTTTGAGTATGGATTACCCAGCTTTGGATAGTGGTACTGCTTATTTCGGGTACCTCGCTCCGGCAAAAAATAAACCAAAATTAAAGCTGCCGACTTTGGATGTTGAATGAGCCAACTATGGGCGGGCAAAGGTGTAGTAGTACAAGATGATATGGCTGACGGCGACAAAGGGCTATGCAGTGCTCTTGCCGCTGTTTTCGGAGGCGTTCCTGCCTACCAATTTTTCTCATGTGCTTCTTTCACGTGATGAAGAAAGTTCAGGCGGCGATCAAGTCGTTTCCCGCAGGCATATCGCCTCCTATCCTACGTGAAATTTACGACCTACACTTCGTTCGCAGCAAAACGGGATTTATGGTGCTGCGGTATGCAATGGTGAAGCGCTGGGTAAGTTACTTCGGGCTAATCCCCTTCGCCAAGTACAGGTGTGGGCAGTGGCTGACGGGCCGCTTCTCTCTTTGGCAGTCGTACCTCACGCCTAGCGGTATCGCTACGAACATTCCGGCGAAAACATTCTCCGCAGTACTCAAACGTGACTATACACTATGGAGAAGACTAATGATGGATTCGCTACTCAGAGAGCTGAGTACATGCTGGCAGGACCAGTCAAGCAGCGCTCGGGCGTTCGAATTTGAAGTATGCTCGCACAAACCAGACGAGTGCAGGAGCCCCTTCGAGCAAGGCTCCTGGGTGTGGCAACAGGACAAATTTAGATGGCCTATGTGCTGGATGTCAGAGTACAGTGACGGTTGTGTCCCTACCAGCTCCACCCGTTGTTGTGGCGTCTAACACTCGCAGCGAGGAAGGCGTCGCAGCATCTGCGCAGTTGGGCGCGAGCTACCCGCGCAAGGAGGTAGAAGGTCAACCACCAGACGGGTGGACCGTTGAAATCGACAGTCAATATTGCCTGTGTAGATACTGTTTCGTATTCGGCATCTGTGCGTACGTTATTTTTGCGCTACGATCTACAGCTCACGTCGACAGTAATGACCGTGAGATTTTGGTGAGCAGGCGCAAGCGAGGACAAGTCGCAGCTCTGGGCGGACCCGGGCGACCGGTTCGTAGTGGACCCGCTCTTAGTTTCGACTGATGCTGGGCTTCACTTCATTTGTATATATATTCTTGACCAGTGACGGCTTTCCATTGTTTTAATTCTGAGAAGTTCATATGTGAGGACGATTAAGAGAGAAATGAGAACTTCCTCAAGCCGTCATCGTAGTAGTTCTGTCTAAGTGTCACGTGGTTGACCGTCGATTTGTGTTCTTGGTGGTAAATCCACAACCGAGTTCGAATTAGATGCTTACAGCTTTGCTACTCGTTCTGCTAACTAGTCCTGCTGTCCTAGGCGCTCGTAGCTAGCTGTCTAATCCTACTTCAACGTCAAGCATATGTAGTTGCCTTCTTCCACTGGAAGGCTGGTCAACATGGCGCACCTGCTGGTCCCAGGGAGCAGCACGTCATCTTCTGAGTAGCACGTGCGTTCTGTGCTGCAGGTGCGATGGAGAGCATCTTACTGCGGCTGCTCACACTAAGAAGGGCAACATGTATATATTCAGTACTATTCCGTGTACTGGACCTTCAACACGTCAAATCACACATATTAAATGTATAAGTAAATTAAATGTACGTACAAGTCTTATCTAGCTAACGATAGACTTACCGGTCCTGCTGCAGCAACGTGTTACACGTCTTCATCCTGCCCTCGGTCCTGGTCTGGTTCTTGCCAGCACTCGTCACATGAGCAATGGGGCCCCATCTCATTTCCGTAATTAGCAGTTATCTGGGACAAACTTACGTCTTTTATCATTTTGACGAGCACTTTGACACGTAAACATGTCTGCTGCTCGATGGACGCGGCGTTCGAATCGTACGCGTGGGAGCTGAAGCGCGTGATATTCCCGCACCGCAGCGCATCCACGTAGACGTAGTTGTTTTTATTTGACGTAGCATTAAAGAGGAGTGTTTACCCGCTGTTCTTCTTAACAGCCTGAGCTGTCTGTTCAGTCCTCACCGTTGAACACTCACTCAGCTCGCCGCATTACTCTCCGATAACGTCGCCAATGGCCATGTTCGTAGTAGTATAGATGCCAAGGCCTACGCGACCAGTATCAAAGAGCTTCAAGCTCGTAAGTACGTAGACGCGACGCATTGCTGCAGCGCACTTTTAGGTTGCACCCCGTGGGTGTGCAAAACGTCTCCGTCGTGACATTCTTGCGCACATCCCAGAAGCAGTCCCCTACGCATTTGCAGGCGTCAAACTCCCCAATGTCTGGAAAGGTAACGCCGTACTTCACGCGCCGTCTGATATTTTTGACTCCTTGAGGCCAGGGACTTCATTTAGGTCAGTGCGAGGTTCCTGGGTCGTGGGCACCAAGTACGTGTAGCGTCGTGTGTGTACTACACCTACACAGTGTAGGTGTTTACACCGCGATTTAGCCTCAGAGGACCGTACTATACTTTGAACTTGAACAGCCTTGACCGTTTTTGCGCGGTAAATTTGAGAGCCGCTGCTAGTAATCGTGCGCTTAGCAAGATCGCGCTTCTTTCGAGATCTGGCGACGTACCACTGCCCAGTTCGTTTCTTCGCTTCGCGCTGGATTTTTGAGCGGGCGTAAAGGCTAGGAATCGATCGTTTGTAGGATTCAGCCTCCAACAGTTTGGCCTCGTTCACAGTGGTTTTAGCTCTCGAAATGGATGCATTAGGCGTACTGTACCCTCCTCGTCTTCTGAGGACACTAAATTGATAACCGTGTTAGTTGACGTCTCTTGTCCTGATTCCAGAGTTGGCTTATGATCTGTTTGTTGCGTGGGTAGGTTTGCAGGAGGCGTTTTCGCGGTCAAGATATACGAATGCGTCACGGTCTCCGGGTCCGGGTCCACATAGCCGTACACATCCGACAGGAGGCTCTCGGGGCAATCGCTTCACGCATGTCGCGAAGAGCCTACCGAACTGATGCCGTCGAGGCATCGACAGCCTGTTCGAGCGCCAGTTGAGTCTACTGAAGCGCGACGGAGCTGCAAACAAACCAGCCTCGAGCTGGTAGGTCCGGATTTTGCGCCTCTTTGCGACCTCTAGCTTCAGCGGATTACCGTAGCGGTGGCCGTTTGGGTCTCCTGCAACGAAGGCCCGGCAGTAATACTCAAGCGTATCACCTGCCTGTTGTGTCGCCGGTGAAAGATCATTTGCGCTGCGCCCCGGCATCGTCGACTTGCGTGTGCTGGACGCGCTGGCAGAGCGAGTGTAGGTGCTGTTTCGCAGCGCTGATTCGGGAAAGTTTGGTTTGTTGTGGAGAGCGTACAGCGGTTTCAACATTACGTTCAGAGCACATTCGTTCTACATCCTCACTGTACCATAAGACGGTACCAATCAACACCTACATTACAATCGGATAACATTCAGACTACCTCGGTGCTTGTGATGCTGCAGCGTCACAGCACCTCGGCCACACCTACCCCATTGTGTGCAGCCAGACAGATACCAGAAAGGCATCGCCAGGCTGCATCGTCCGTGTGTATTGTGGGAGATGGGTTATTGTCGTAGACATATTTCTACTTGTAGATTTTATATTGCGTCAGCTACGTATAATAGAAAGGGCACCTATAGCCTAGCGTGAGACTCGTAAGGTGGGCCAGTCTACCCCCTATCCACGACGATGGGCCGGGGTCCCGTCTGACTGTGAAAATGGCTGTGCCGGATCCCCTCATTTGCTCCATTTTTCTCCGGAGCGATGTCGCGCCGACCAGCCCACCGCCACGCCTGCAGGCTCGAAGATAGCTCCAAGGACAGCGAAGACACCCCGGCACGCAGTGAGATCTCAGGATACGACTCGTCAGCGAGTGTGCGAGGTATGGATGACTCGTGAAGTTCGACGGTTGCTGCATCACGTGCGTCAAAGAAGCGGAAGAAGCGAAGGTCGCGTCCGCGGAAGCACGTGAATAAGCGACAGAAGAAGAGGTATTCCCGGCGCATATAGTCACGTCGTTCGAGGCGAGTAATAGGAAGCTACGGCTGAGAAATCAGACTCTACTGCCTCCGCCAGCAAGCCTCTTGGAGACGACAACTCGCGAGACATCCCTCCCCAAGAACGTTTACGGGCTCCCGAGCTGGGCGTGAAGCGTTTTGCGAGTTGGGGAGAGCTGGCAAGCTACTTGGGCAACTACAGCAGGCGAACGTACCAGGTTTGTCATATTTATCTCAGACTGAACCACAGTCTCAGAATGTGTACCAACTTGAGACTATATCTAACTATTGTTCGTACTCTGTAGTTGTACTCCGTGCGTACTGCGACTTCGGTTGAGACGCGGAACGAGAGGATAAAAAACAACATGCAAAACGATATCAAAGGAATTGGAATTCTACAGCAAAACGTTCGTGTGTACACACCACGGCAGTCCAAGGCGCAGCCGAAGTGCTGGAAAGGGTCCCAAGCAGCACTCGAGGAAGATTGGTTGTCCCGCTCAGGTGAAGTTTGTTCTGTTTTCTGCTAACTCCGAGGATTTTAACTCTGAAACGGTGCTTGCTGTGTCCAGATTAATGCCTGTGCTAGGGATACAGGAGACTGGGAAATTTGCATTACGAAGCAGATCACTTTGCATAATCATGATCTCAGCGCAGAGTCGTATGAGACGTACCACCAGGCTCAACAAGTTTCTGACGAAGAAGTACACTCCATCGAGCTGGTGCTGATAGAAAGAGGATCATCGAATACATAACCGAGAATAATACCGTCGAACCGGAGATGAAAGACGCGCACAACCCGGTGTATAAGCTCTAGAGAGAGTCTTACAGTCCCCCGTCACTGGAGGGGCAGATTAAATCCACTTTGGATGATTTTCTACCAAGCCCGGGAATATGGCTTGGGTGTTTTTTAAACGAGGAGGTGGGAATGAGAATTGATTTCTAATTTCGCTTAATTATTAATATTTGGTGTGCGGGTCTTCGCAGGAATTAGTCGAGTGCATACGCATTCAGTCCGCTCACATGCGGCAGATGTTTGGTCACTTTCCAGAAGTGCTGCTGATAGCTGCTACTCATGACACCAATTCATCAAACTTTAAGTTGTTTAGCTTTATGATTCACGATGCTATGGGAAAGGGACAACATGTTCAGGTACAAATTAAAAAGAATTGTCTGTGATTCTCAGACTGTGCATCATTTTTAATCATTCACCAACACTTTTTGCCTATATACGGCAAAGCTTGCTGCAAAACGAAAGGAAGGAAACGTTGCGATTGGCGTGTGCTCAGTTCAAGGAGTGCTGTCCTTCGTATGATTTGCTTGCTGTTATTATTGTGGACAAGGCCTTCACGGAGCTGTCGGTTTTGGAAGAGGAGTCCTGGCGTCCGCATACTATTGTGCCACTTTCACGTTGTTAAGTATCTACAAGAGAAAGTTGTCAAAGAGAAGTACGATGTGGACGCGTACACAAAACGGAAATGGAACGATTGATACAACTGCTGGTTTGTACACCTTTGGAAAAAAACTACGACGATGTGATCTCAACTATGAAAGCAGTATTGCGGACGGAAGCTAAAGTGCAGCGGTTTGATTATTTTGATCGGAACTGGACAAACGGCAAGAATCAGTGGAGCTCTATCTAATGGGGAAACGTCCCGCATATGGGAAATCGGACCAACAATCGGGTTGGGCCCAGCTGGCAGAAATTGAAAACGCCGGTGAATCGGTGCGTCGTCTCTGTTTTGTTTTGGCAAACTGTGAAAAAGAAAATGTGGCAGCGGGCTATAAACCAAATTGGCGTGCGCAATATAATGCGTAGATGAATGCTTTGTCAAACACTGTTTCGGCTCACGCCGTACAACTGGTTAAGCAGCAGTTCGACATTGCGCTTCTTCCCACGACTAAATATCGATATTATCCTAAGGGCCCCTACGTCATGATGCAGTACACGGTAGCTACAGAGGAGGACATTCAGGAAGAGTATATGATGAGCTCACAGGTGTGGACTTGCTCGTGAATTCTTGCGTGACGAGGTTTCTACCGTGTCGCCACATCATATACTACCGAAATGCAGCTGACTGCTGCGCTCTCGTTCCCGAGAGCATTCTGCATCCGCTATGGGTGGTTAAAACCCACAAAAAGGTATAAAAGAAAAGTCTGAACCGGTGGAGGTCTCATACGTAGACAGAAAGATACCCCTACAATCGTGTGGACGCGCCAAAAGAATTTCAACGAGCTGCTGCGTATAGGCAAGCAGGTTGCTGACATTAAAGCTACTTGGGGCACCACCGCGCACGAAACGTTGAAGCAGAAAGCTCAAAACCTCCCCTTGCAGAAGGTTTTGAATGCTGTTCGTGTCGGCCAGAGCCCTCGTGTTGCGCCACCAGGCCAGGAACACCGCGTTGGAAATCTGTTCTGTGTTTGGCCTAAGTCTTTGCCAATCACGAGATCGAGCGTTTTTTAGGCACGAGCTCGCGCATTTCTGGTTGTACAGTACGCTCTGTAGCACTGTCCTCGTTGTCTATGCAGAGATGCCAGCTGGCAAAGAGCTTAGTCTCTGAAGTGCATCCGGACGTCCACATGATTGGACTATCCAACCTATGGTGAGGCTATCCACCAGAAAGGACTTCGGACTGGTAAAACTGTGCGTGATTATGTATGACACTGCATAAATGCCCCCATACTGTGTACGCAGTCTCTTTCATATTACACCAGCGGCGTCGCAAGGATTTCCTTATTGAACCCCGACACGAGTACCTTTTTTCAATATCGACTCTCTAGCTAGATGGCTACCAAAGTCAGCTCTTTAGCTCCAGGCTCAGCAAGTTTTATTACTGCTATCCTAGTAAAATTGTGAAAAGTTAAACCCGCATTTTGAAAATGAAAAAAAGAAACAATTAAGTAGGAGTTGATTTGAGCCCCAGTAATGGAATTAATCCTTCTAACTTAATTCTTTGGTTTTTGTGGCAAAAAGGTTGGATCGAGTTGAGATCGAAGCTGTTTAAAGCTATTTAAAAACGAGACGAAACCAAAGCATTCTACTGGTGATCCAATCGGACCATCCTTTTGCGAACCTAACAGTTGCTGCTGTCGAGATGTCCGCCACACCTCCACATCATTACTCATCCGCTCCTTCCCTTCGACGCAGCTGTCTAGCGGGAGCCCAGCGTCCTCATATTCAATCGCTACATCTCTAGCCTTGTCCATTGCATTTTGGGCTAACAAATCTGCCGTCGTGTTTATGTACTCTGTATTGATGCGACCAATTTACCACTCCGCACTGCTTCGCTAACCTCCGCACTGTCGGAGATAGTGCTACATCCATTCGATGGATGACGCAGCGGAAGTTACCGAGGTGCATACAAATGCAGGACTGACACAAGAGCACGTGTACTCCCCGCCACCTCTTCTCGATCGCACTGGTCTATAATAGGTGTAGGACCACAAACTCGGCGATGTAGTTGGTCATTGTAACCATCGCCAATGCTGCCGCTGCTATCCATGCAGCACTAAACACACCATGCTCGTCCTTAACCTCAAGTAAGCCGCTGCCACTCCCCCTAGACCGGAGCCGCCGTCAAAGAACCCCACTCTCATAACTTCGCTCAGCCTCCCCCCACCTGTACCTCTTGATACCTGGTTCCATCGGGCCTCCATCACATTCACCAGCTTGATATCAACGTAGGAGGCCTCCGTGAATAAGAATAAGCGAAGCTTATATCTTGCTATCGCTCCCCCCGCATCTCTTTTGAAGCACCGCATCGCACCCCCACTGATCCAATATGCTGATCGGCTGGATACGTTTGCTCAACTTGCCATGTCCAAATGGCTGTTACGCATGTAGAGCATATTATCCTCCATACATCGTTTGCTACGCCGTAGCTTTCGTGATCTTGAGCCACCGGGTAATTTCTTAATCCAATAGCTGAAATTTTCCGCTAGCCTATTCTTCCGTGCCCCGCTGGTGCTCATGACAGCACTGCTATCCACTCCCCACATTTCAGCCAGCATAATCCAGAAAGCCTGCGCACCGGGCAGGATAAGCTGCGCCGGATCCTTTAGTATATCCCCATTACAGCCCGCGCTGACACACCCAAATTCTCTATCTGAGCCGGCCCACAGTGGCAGACCCCGGAATTTGAGTTTCACAATATTCTGCTTGTGATAAGCCGACACACCCTCGTTGCTGCGGACGCTTTGCCAAGTTAAGTTTTGCCAGGCATGCGCAATACCTCTACGTTTACTTTTCCAAAGCCCCCGCAGTGCCCGAGTATTTCTGTGGCTCAGTGTAATGAACGACTTATCTCCATACGCTTGTACAGCTTCCTATTATGGGATCATTTTCTGACCGCTTCATCAACTCCTCATCCTGGTCAGATTCGGGTGGGGAGGACACCATGAGTGTCGCTTCGTTAGTCATATTACCCTTGCAGCTACCACCCCCACAAACCGCATCTCGTCTGTCCACACGATGTCATTCACCGATCCTCCCCACGTAGGTTGAATGATCGTCCTGCCATCAATATTCTTCACAGTGCAAATGTAATGGGGTCTCCAAGTGAATGGTGTATTTTCAACAATTGCTGGCTCACCGGTTGAAAACCCAGCTCTTAAAACTAAGCGAGCAGCGACAACACATCTCCTTGAACATGCCGGTCTATTTTGACGCCTTTGGTATAGTTTGCTGTGTGGAGACAAAGATAATATCACCGAGTGCTACGTTCTGCACTGCTAACAGATCGCCTAACGCGATCCTGTCCGTCAGTGTGACCAATTCCCTGAAAGCAGATCATGATATTGTGTTGTGACCAGGCGGCACCACCGCTGCAAACGGGATATATCACATCCGCTCGTGATGAAATTATACTCGCTGTATTCTTCTGACATCTCGGGTCCTAATCATTTTATTATCTCGTGTAACAAACGCCATAATCCTACACGCGTTCACCTCATGTGCGAACTATTGCGCTAATTTAGCAAACCATGTAGAGTCTTGACCTCTTCTATGTCATCCTCCGCGTCTGTGTGTCAATTGGCGAGTAAATGCTCCGTCCAAGGCCTTGTAATCTAACTTAAACGCACACCCCGGGCCCACTTCCTAACTGATGCTATCGTCTTTGCGAAACCATCTCTTGCAGATTCTTAACGATGGCTTGTATCATTTATATCTTCGCTGAGTGCCCATTGTCCGACAGTCACCGTAGCGAGTGCTATCATCTTTACCTTCAGGTTCAGGAGGCCGCCCACGCCTCCTTGGCTCAGCGTCTGCCGCCTGAATCTTTCCGGTTGGTGGACAAGCTGGTTGTGCGAACGAAGGGTTCCAAAAAAATGTCTTACTCG